CAAATTCTCCCCCTCGTCTCATCATCTGCGTCTCACATGACCACCCGCTCATGCAACCCTTCAGCTTACAGGTTTAGTAACGTTGTGGTTTGGGATTCAGAACAAGCAAACCTGGCACCTTGTCTGCATTGAAATGCGATCGCTCGGCGCTGTCGCTGTCGCATGTTTACAGGGAACACGGGTTCGGAATCCACGTGGGAAATGTGTTGCAGTGGGGCTTATGTCAGACGCCGTTCTTGGGTATGACATGCATGCAGATGGAGGGCCGTGTCGGGGCTGCCGAGGAAGAGGGTAGGTTGACGCGACGTTGGGTTTCAGAGTTGAGGAGGCTGACGGGGAGGGCGTCGGATCCGCTGGCTGGAGGGCTGGATGGAGCGGAGCCGCAAGAGGCTCGTTTGTATGCGTGAGGCTGGGTGTATGTATGAACAAGCCGGTGTTGTAGGCGTTGAAGCTTGGTGATCGATATAGTTGCTCTTCGTGGACAGGACCTTTCCTTCCCTTCCCTTGAGGTCGAGGTGAGTTGTGGCGGTAAGCCGGACGGAGATCCAGGACAGTTTCTTCCTTTGCTGCAATGATGATGCTGATTAAGATGACGATGTGTCTTGTTCTCTGGGTATTACAGATGAAGCGATGTTTGCCTACCAATGCCTGGCGGGACTGCTGCGAGTAGCACAAACTACATTGTCAAGAATCGAGGCTGGTTGTCGAGATCGCATTTTCCATACATCGCGTTGATTCACGGAGTTGTCTTACTAAGAACTCCAATACTTCCCCCCGAGGTCTCTTTCTTGCTCTACGTATCTCTTCCGTATTCGCATACGCTTTCGCAACACTTGACTCTTACAACTCCCCTCGCATTCTCATCCTCTCCCAATTATGCTTTCTTTTTCCCCTCATGACTGCCCCGTAAGCCAGGCCCATTACTCCTACTGACTCTCGCAACCTTCGCAATGTACACGACTCTTGTTCTTTCGCCTCCATCCTCCAATCTCACCATACCACCACTCGCGAAGCAACTGCGTCATGGCATTCCTCCCAAGTCCCTCGAAAAACCCATCTCTTTTTCCTTTTCCACCCAAAACCTCGATATTCCCCCTCCCATCCCATATATACAACACTCCACGTCATCGTGGCTTTCACGCCACTATCTCTCGCTCCCTCCCGTCCTCCCGAGATCTCCCTCCTTCTTTTTCCGTATCATTCTTATCGCTCGCAAGCCGTCGCGTCACCGTGGCTTGTCGTGGCTTGAACTCTCACAGGGTCTCCTTTCTTTTTCCTTGCTTTTTTGCCGCATGGAAAGATGGTGGGGTCGGAGAAGCGAGGATGGGTTTCATGACATCCCTATGGGTGTGCACTGTTCCGTCGTTCCGGCCAAAGAAACGTCGTGGTGGCGCTGAGATGAATGAGGCTGGCACCGGGGATGGGGGTGGTGGCGTGATGCGGATGCGGATCGAGGGAGGGTATGCAGCGGTGGCGTAGGTCCTGGCAAAAGCGTGTATGCACGCCAACCTAGGAAAAAACCGAGGAAAAAACTGAACAGGTCTGCAGCCTACATCGACGTTGGGTCACCTACTTTGCATGTTTCCATGTCAATGTAAGCTGCAGGCCTATTCAGTTTTTTTCTTGTATGAGGTGGGTAGGCTGGCGAAATACGTGAGACAGTAGATATTCGAATAGGAATATAGGTAGATACTCTTTACGTAGGAGAGATTGCTATACATGCGTAGCATTGTCAAATGCTGTATAACATGCCCACCTTTAGGCATCTACTCGAATCTTTCATGAAGAACACAACATCACAGCATGTACATCCATTCGACATTTAACAACAGTGCATCCACGTCAGCCCAGGAAAAAAAACTGAAAACCGTGGAGCCTACATTCTGGTAAAAACATACAAAGTAGGTAGCCCAAGGTCAACGTAGGCTCCAGGGTGTTCAGTTTTTCTCATTGTATCAGGTGCATCATCAACATAGCCAACGCAACGATCGAAGAATTACTATTATTCATTCTCATCCAAGTAAACAAGCTACCAGGGTATCAATACTCAATATCCCACTCATGCCTAAACGCCATCGAATACCGAAATACCTTCACCAAACCCTCATCTAGACTCCTGGGGACTCAACGGCCTCTCGCTGATGAAATCCTTGTTCTTGTTTAGTAACTCCTCACTGCGTTGCCTAATCATCTCATCCCTATCCGGATCTGCTTCCTGCAGCCTCCTCTGCACTTCAGCCCTATTCCGCTCTATGAGCGTCTCGATAGGCGTCTCTTCAACAAGGGTCTCTTCAACAAGACCATGCACAGCATACCCACTGCCCCACCTTCCGAGAGCAGGTGGGTCTGCGGGTCCGTCTCTGACAACGCTGATGTCTGTTCTGTGCTTCTTCTTCAGCTTGTTCAATTCTGAATCCCGACGAGGAGTCCAGGGACCGGGACGACTGGAAGGACCGCCACGGGAAGAAGGACCGGCATGAGAATTGTATGTGGGAGGAGCCGATCGGACTGGAGTTCCGTCTTTGTACGCGGTGACGACAGAGGGCGACTTGCTTATATTCTGCAATTCATGATTCTGATGAGGCGAGAGGGTGGGACCAGAGGGGTCGGGACGAGAGAGGTCAGGACGAGAATCGGCTGTGATGGTTTTACGAAGCCAATTCTATACGGCGTTGCCTTTCGGTTCGGGTTCTGCGTCATCTTGTGCGCCATCAAGATGACGGGCATGTGCGGAGAAGACTCCGAGCTTGTCGATGTGGTTTAGCGAATGCCAGAGGAGATATGTACTAGACAAATGAGTCAGTAAGAGTGGTACGATAGCACCTCATACAAGGGAAAAACTGAACACCCTAGAGGCTACATCAAGAAGAAAACCTGCAAATTAGGTGGTCTAACGTCGATGTAGGCTCTAGACCTGTCCAGGTTTTCCCTAGGTTGACGTGATAGGACCGATAGAGGTGTCTTACCTGACAAAAGTGAAGATCATGCCCGGCCACAAGAACACAACACTAGCAATCGCCCGGCCGTTCTTGTTGTAAGCGAGCGGAGTCTCACCGGCTTTCTTGAACTGCGACAACAGGCCCTGTCCGCGCTCGAAATCCGTGCCGGTAAGGTGCGCACTCTTGCTCGCGGTGATGTAAGTGTATGCAAGGGCGTCGGAGAGCGTAAGCATGCAAGCAAAGACTGAGCAAGCTTTCCAAGCGTTGATGACGCCTCTGGACTCTTGTCGCTCAGGCCAGAAGAGATCGAAGAAGAAGGCGGCACCGAAGATGGTGGCGACGAAGATACCAACGAAGATGTTGTACGATGCGATGCCGACGAAGTTGTTGTTGTGGATCATGACGTTGCGGTCGAGCTCTGAGACGAACTTTTGCTGGTCGACGTAGTCTGCTGGGTGTTAGATGATGTTCAAGTTGGAAGATAGCAGACGCTTGTCGTCGCCACCATGGATAGAGATGGAGAGAGATATCGTACCAGACAGCGCAGCCGTTCCCAGACTCTCACTGACAACGCAGAGAATCATGGCGAGTTGGTAGATGATGAACTTTGTGCGACGGTTGTGGTACGTGTTGTTCCACATGTAGCCAGACTTGAACTTGCCCCATTGCATCTCCTTCATGTCGAGACCCCAGATTACCGCCATCGTGACTGGATATGGATGCTAGTAATGAGATGAAAGATGGGGTTGTCTAACGAAGTGCGCGCGATAAGTTGGCTGGAGAGAAGGATGGCAAGTGAAGCGCGGGAAGGCCGGATAGAATACACCACCGACGTATTGGTCGCGATAGCCAGGAAACTTGTCTGTAAGGTAAGCACCGCGCGAGTATCGAGCCTCCCCGAGGTCCCACGGGCAGTTGCATACTTAAGGGTCCTCTTGCCTGGCCACTCCACACCACCTACGTCGCGCCTCCACCCTCTCCGTCAGCCATCACCGACGCAATCGAAATCTTTCAATGTTAAATCCGTCTCCAGACCCGCCCAGTCCACAAGGGAAACAAGCACCCGCCAACCGTCGCGGTGCTAGCGTCGATCCTACGCCATCGTTGCTTCGCAGAAGCTTATCACTTCCGCGCGCAGCCCCAGACCCACGAATAGCAGCGCGTCGTGTGCGCGAAAGCAGTATTAATCAGCGTCTCGGCTGGGGTCGGCGAAAAGATCACGATGGGAAAGTTGAAAGGTGATTGGGAAATGTGGTTGGGAGGAGGGTGGGTGCGACGTCATCGAGCGGGATGTCGGTGGGTCGTTGCTTAGCGAGAATGCTTAGTGCACGGGTGGGGCGTTCACGTCATTTGTTGCACTTTCTGCACGCAAGGGGCTTGATGTCACAGGATTGTGAAGGATGTGAGTGCGGTAGATATGTCCGCTGTTTGGATGTCACGCACGTCATCGCAGAACTGCTTCTCGAGCAGAGTCTGTTCCTTCGAGGCATATGAGCTGTGAGGCTACCCACGAATAGTACCTAGGTATTTTCTCGAGTGTCTTGTCTAATCCGGGTTCTGTAGCCACGAAACCCAGATCTAACTATGTGGTATGGGCCTCACCCGACATCTCGATCTCTGTGACATAGCCGACAACGCCTCTCTCCACCCCACTCATCTATGCGCTCCCCATAACAAGAGCTCTGTTATCTTGGAAGATTTCGTGTAGATATATCTTATTCCTCCGCCCATCGTCCAGAACCGAACTTCGAAGTCTCAGAGACCGGAATGAAGCTGTGCCTGGGGCTGGGGCCGGATTGGGGACGTCTTTGATCCTGAACAACAAGTGTACACCAACTCTCAAATGCCTGGGATAATTGTTTCTGAAGATCACAATTTCAGTGACATGCTTGGTACCCAGCTCTGCCTTATGTTGGAAAAGCAAGAAAGCGAGCGTGCGACCCAATGGAGAGCCTGGAGTGCGTCAGCGTCGTTACCACCCACAACCCTTGGATGTCGTATGGGAGTAGGCCAGGACTGGTTCCGTCCTGTTTGCTCCTGGGCAATGTAAGGCGCTCAAGACTACTCACCAAGTAACGCCGGGCCTTCCTCGTCGTACATATTGGCTATCACACCAGGCCAGTACGGTACCTCTTTGAGACCATGATTCTTCAACACTCTGTTGATGAGAGCGAGAGTCATCGTATTCTCGATGGTGAGCACAAGATAGTACTTGAGGCTTTTGGGGTCAATATTGCCGCGAAGCCAGTACGCCATCATGATGTCCGAGGCGCGCTTGAGCTCCGGGAGGCTAGCTTCTGCTGGGCTGTCATCCCAATTTGCCAGTGCTGCTGTTCTAGGGTTGAGGAAGTCGAGACCAATGATCACTTTGAGCTGTTAGTATGTCTCCTAGTATGGTTTGCGTGAGTAGAGCCGGTAGCGCACGAAGGTGAGTCTACGTCCACTCGGAGATACTTACGTCCGCCTCGTTGGTTGATACCGAATCGAACATGCGCACCGGTACACCGCTCCCAAACACCATTGATGTCGTAGTACTGGTTTTGCGCCGCAAGAGTGTCTCCATCGTCATCTTCGGCGCGCTCGTTGTAGTGTTCTATGCTGTAACACACATTATCTCCGCCTTTTGTATGGGGCCTGGAATTGATACCAAGATCCTGGAACATAGTTCCTATAAAAGGTCAGTGTCTATCAAGAACGATATCCAACCCTGAAGACTTTCAAGGAGGAATAGGAATGAACGCCCTCGCGCAATCGACGTACCGACCTTGTTGACATGGTAATCTTCGTTATCATCGGCAAATTGGCAATGCGATTTCTGGTCATATTCGCCAGTAAACCAACCCCAGAGACTTATCTCACTTGTGAGCGCGGCATCGGGCCATTGATTGCGCGCCGAAGGCGGTGTTCGTGTGTCCATATTTAGTCTACCAGCAGCTTCGTCCGTGGCTTCGAGTCGACATATCAAATCATCTCCCTTCTGGCGGGCTGCAGCCCATTCTGCGTCATCCGCGACCTTCTCAGGTTCCCATAGGACGTGTACCTTGGTAGGCTCATCGCTGGCTATATCTTGGGTAAGAGCGATCGAAGCCACGACAGCTATGAGCGTTAAAGAGAGTCTCATGGTGGGCTGAGCAGAAAGCCCAGGTGATTTTGAACAGACTTGAGTGGCTTGAAAAGAGATATCGGAGTTTTTAGCGATGTGTGTTGAGCCAGAGTGGGGCAGCAAACAACCGCCATTCCTCTCACTAGAGATTGCAACATGACAATGGATATAGATAAGGAAACTGACATTCTAGGGTATCGTGGCTTCCCAGTAGACACCAGCGCCACGCAGATTCAGACCAGCCGCCCATACCCATATCGTACATCCAAACGCATAATAGCCAGTCGTTCTAACATCTCAATGAACCTCTTATTCAATCATCCTTCTCATCATCGTCATCATCATCCCCCTTCCCAGGCACAGTCTCCATCTCCACCTCACCCTGCACCTTCCCCTTGCTATCCTTCTGCACAATACGATACTTACCACCCTCCCAGAGATCCTTGAACGTAAGTTCCTTCGTGCGGCCGAGACTCTCGATAGCACCAATACGCTCGAGCGTCGCTTCGAGGAAGTCTTCGAACCCAGGTTCGGCGCAGATCTCGTTGAAGGCGCGTTGCATGGGTACGGAGTCGGCGCGGACAACAGCGTGCGAGTCGATGGAGAAGATGGAGAGGTCGTGGTGCTGGCGGATGAAGTCGGAACGCGTCATGATGAAGCGGGCGCGGTGGAGGGGGAAGGAGGGGAGGATGTGGCCTTCTTTTGGGTCGTAGGTTGATTCCATGTCGTGGTAGAGTTTGTAGAGGGCGTTGGCGAGGACCATGGCTGTGGACTGTGGGTGTTAGTCAAAATGATTGAGAGAAGAACACTTGTATACGTACAGCGTATTTCTGCTGGTCCATGACATCGTCATCCATTTCCTCGCCGAGAATCGCGCAGTTGTTCAGGAACCAAATCTTTTCCATTTCACAGATGCTGTTGCATTTTGCGACCATGTCTTCGGACTTGGCGACGCGATTGAGGAAGGTTAGACGTCCGCCGACTTTGTCGTATACTTCTTCGAGGATTGAGTCTTGTACCTTCTCGCCGTAGTACTTCATTCGGTAGTTGCGCAGGGCTTGCATGGCGCGATCTTTGCTCAGGTCCTTGATCTGATGTACTTCCATGCGCGTCGCGTACTGCTTTAGTCGTTCAAACACCCAGTACTTGTCCGAGTTAATGATGACGGTTGCGAGGTTGGCGGCCGCCCACTGCTCTGCCCGCTGCTGGATGAGTTCGAGCAGGTCTCGGCCGTCGTCATTGTCTCGGATCAAATGTGCGGAGTTGATGATAAGAATAAGCGGCCTTCCGACAGTCGCGCGGCGTCGCAAGGCCACTTTTTCGAGCTTGTTGAACGCACGCTCAATGTCAAGGATAGCGCCCGCATCGCGAGGACCGCGGATAGAGAATAGCGATCCGATGTTGTCCTCGTGGTACTCAAAATCAAGACAGCGACCTAGTCGAACACGGAAGACTTCGAGATCTGCGTGAGCTTCCATCATCGAACATCCCTCACCATTAATCTTATCCATGGCATCGATGAGCATGGAAGTCTTCCCAGTCCCTTTCTCGCCGAGAAGCAGATGGTAGCGTCCTTTTGTCTCACCCCAGACAATCTTGTCAATCCTTTCCTGCTCATCACGTGGGATCCAGCGATCATAGTCTTTATCATCACCGTCCAGGTCCTTGCTGACTTGTAGTCGAGTAGGCTCACCCGCTTTCGGCATCTCCTTTCCAGTAGCTGCAAGCTCTAATACAGGATCGCCTTCCCGAAAAGCGTTCTCCATCTTTTCGAGCACGTTCCATTTGTAGTACTTAGTATAACCAATGCCGACGCATCCAAGGATGAAGATGCTGGCTCCGGTAGTAGCAGCAGCCTCAAACATCTTCCAGGCCGTGCTTTTCCATTCTGCCTTCTTTTTCTCGCGTTTCTCCTCTTGCTGCTCTTCCTCTTCCTCCAGACGCTCTGCAGCGTCGTCAATGGGGTTTGGCGCATCGTTGCCAGGAGTCGGAGGACCGGATTGGCCACTCAGAGCGCGCGCCAAAGAGGGCTGGCATAACCTTGTTCTTTGCAGTACCGGACCAGCCTGCTGAGACCGATACGCGAAAGGTTGTCGTGTCAACGCGGCATGAGCGCGCGTGATATGTCGTAGCATTAACATTATTGCGCTGGCGCGTTCCAAGTCACGTTGGTGTCGCGTGCTTTCCAATGTTACACGTGTCAAACGTAGGCGCAGCCAGAGGTTCAACAGACGTGGAATGGACTAGGAAAGGAATGAATGAGAGTTAAACGAGAGACAGACGCGTGAAAGGAGAGATGATTGAGATGGACGGGACGAGATTGGAGGAGAGGGACGCCAAAGGAGGTACCGCGGCCTTGTTACGCTGGTGTTGCGATAATTTGCCGCAGGGGCCAAGTGCGAGTGCCAAGTGCGAACGGCAGGAGCGACCGTGGTGACAGCATGGTGGAACTCGCGTCCATCACCATATCGATCGACGTGAAGACAAACACGGTGTGTAGGACATGGCAACTCCAGCACGCCGGAATTCACGCGATATTGCTGACCCCCGGTGCATGGGGGCCGTTTTCCCGATGACATGCCTGTGGCCTCGGAAGTGGAGAGCGAGCTTAGCGGACCATCCCGGCGCCCTCAAGAAAAATATTCTGGAGACATGACCGGAGAGTCACCTCTCTCCCCATCACTCGCCGCATGTCATTGTACATTAATGCGCCATTCCTGTATATCTCCTTCCTTCCCTAGACCGATTCCCTCTTTCCCCAGTCGTTCTTTCCCGGCGTCGTAGTGTTTCTCGACATATCCACAGCCCGCCATCATGGCCGCTAGTACCAATGACGCTTCCAAGTCTGGTGAGCTTCCCGCCCGCACACGACCGCGATGGAAATTTATTCCCAGGCGCGATAACTCTTTTTGCACCCCATGGCTAACATCAATGGCAACGCAGAGGTCGAGAAGACGCCCAGCAAAGACGTCACCACAGAGGGGCAGAATGAGGGCACAGAGGAAGATGGCGCTGGCCAGCAGCCAGACAGTATGTCAATTGACTTACCATGTGTAGGAAATATTTACTAATGTCGTAGACATCTTCCAAGTCACCATCAAGCTCCCACACGAGCCGTTCGAGATGCCGATAACGGTGCGTATTGAGAAATAGAAAAGAAAATATGGACGACAAACTCACGACTCCAGATCTCAACGGCCGAGCAGGTGCAAGACCTCCGTCAGAGCATCATCGAGACGCCCCACACGTTCCAGTACTCGTGCTTCCACCTGGAGCACGACGGCAAGCGCATCAACGATTACGTCGAACTCTCTGAAGTCGAGGGACTGAAGGCCGATTCGGTACTCACCCTGGTGGAGGACCCATACACAGAGAAGGAGGCGCGGTTACATGTGGTCCGCGTACGCGAGCTCATCGGCGCTGCCGGTGACCGTACCGATGCGCTGCACGGTATCATGGCTGGACTGTCACTGCACGACACTGTCGGCCATGAGCAGATCTCTAAGCCCAAGCAGGACGGCCCGGAGCAGTCGCCGTTGGCAGACTACGACTTCAAGGCATCGGGCAACATCAAGAATCTGCTGCCGCCCACCGAGGAAGCCGCGGCCAAGACGATTAAATCCATCGCCGTATCGCCCTGGAACCCCCCGCCATACCACCTCCGCTCCAAGGGCCACCTGCTGTACCTGGTAGTTACGACCAACGAGAACGAGCAACACCACATCACAGCTCACGTCTCTGGATTCTACGTCAACAAGTCGTCGAATGCCAGTTTCGACCCCTTCCCGCGACAGCCACCAAAGGACAAGCAGGCACACTCACTCCTCACCCTCCTCGAGGACCTGTCGCCATCTTTCCGCACTTCTTTCCAGGAACTGCTCGAACACAATGCGAAGAAGGAGTTGCTTACAATCTTCCAGCTCTCCAATGCCATCCCCGCCAACCCATGGTTGGTCCCCGCACCCACGTCATCCCTCACCCCACACCAGCCGGATCTCGCGCGGACACAGGAGAGCTATCTGATCTCGGGTGTTGAGAACACCGAGACCCTCCGCGACTGGAATGAAGAGTTCCAGTCGACGAGGGAGATGCCCAAGGAGGCCGTCCACGACCGCGTCTTCCGCGAGCGCCTCACATCGAAGCTGTTTGCCGACTACAACGATGCTGCGACCCGCGGTGCCATGCTTGTAGCACGGGGCGAGATTGCGCCTCTCAACCCTACCGAGGCCAAGGACGCGCAGATCTTCGTATACAACAACATCTTCTACTCCTTCGGCGCTGATGGCGTTGGCACATTCGGCGCTGAGGGTGGTGACGAGGCTGCACGCGTGGCTGTGGGCAAGGACGTATTCGGTGTCCGCGCAGTGAACAACCTCGACATCAACAACCTCTTCACCTCCGGAACCGTCGTCGTCGACTACCAAGGAAAGCGCATTGTTGGCCAGAGCATAGTGCCCGGAATCTTCAAGCAGCGCGACCCCGGCGAGCACCAGATCGATTACGGTGCGGTTGAGGGCAAGGAGATTGTCGCCGATGACAAGTCGTTCGTCCCGTTGTTCGAGCAGCTCTCCAAGGCGCTGCGCGTCAAGAAGCATCCTGTATGGGACAAGGACAATGTCCGTCACGAGCTTGAGGGAAGTGTTGAGACTAAGGGTCTGATCGGCACCGACGGCAGGCGGTACGCTCTGGACCTCTACCGCCTCACACCTCTCGACGTTGCCTGGATAGAGGCACACTGGACCGAGCCCAGCAAGGAGGGCGAGAAGGAGGCGACTGATAAGGACTACCCCCACCGCATGACCACACTCCGCCCTGAGCTTGTAGAGTCATACGGCAGGGTCAAGTTGCGCGAGTACGTCAAGGAGCAGATGGCCAAGAAGACCACAAAGAAGGACGAAGCCCCTGCAAAGGAGGTCAAGGCTGAAGAAAGCTCATCTGAAGAGGAATCTTCGGAAGAGGAGTCATCTGAGGAGGAGTCTTCTTCGGAAGAGGAGGACTCTGACGAAGAGAAGGAGAAGATGCCCAAGGCTAAGAAAATCTCCAAGGCGGAGAGGAAGGCCGCGGAGAAGGCTGCCAAGGTTGCCAAGAAGGAGACCGAGGAGAAGAAGCCTGAGGCCGAGGACCCTGAGCAGGAGCGTGTCGACATCTCCGGATTCTCCTTCGCGCTCAACCCTGATGTCTTCTCGGGCCAGAACCCGCAGTCAGAGGAGGACAAGAAGGAGTGGGCTCAGGACGAGGCTGAGGTCCGCGCTGCTTGCGAGCACCTCACTTCGGAGGTCATTCCTCGCATGGTCCAGGAGCTCAAGGAGGGCGAAGTCGGTTTCCCAATGGACGGCCAGTCCCTGAGCAACCTTCTGCACAAGCGGGGTGTGAACATGCGCTACCTTGGAAAGCTTGCTGAGCTGGCCGATAAGCCTGACCCAAGGCTTCAGGCCTTGAAGCGTCTCATCATCCAGGAGATGATCGCACGTGGTTTCAAGCACTTTGCCAACTCCAAGCTGCGCAACGTGTCCGCGCCTTTCGCAGCACCCGCAGCCGCCCACCTCCTCAACTGCTTGCTTGGAGCCGATGTCAGCGCTAAGCCTGTGGCTGAGTGCGACAGCAGCCTCAAGAAGATGTATCCCGAGGATGACTTCAGCTTCGAGAAGCTCACACCTGAGGCCCTCAAGAAGGAGGTTGTTGCTCAGGTTGCCCTACGATTCCGCTACGACCTCGGTCAGTCGTGGATCGAGTCTGGCAAGGAGATGCAGATGCTCCGTGAGGTTTCCCTCAAGCTTGGTCTCCAGTTGGAGTGCAAGTCGTACGCCTTCACGAAGGAGGCCTTTGCCGCCAGCCAACCGGCTGAGAAGCCCGCTGCGCCGCAGACTAACGGCCACTCCACATCTTCAAAGAAGAAGAAGAACAAGTCCATCAGCACGCCGCCAGCCCGCACGGCCAGCCCTACTGTCCCCCTTGCTCCGCAAACCTTCCATGCGGACGACATTCTGAACATCGTCCCTGTCATCAAGGAGGCTTCACCAAAGAGCTTGTTGGCTGAGGAGGCACTGGAGGCTGGTCGCATGTCCATTGCCCAGGACCAAAAGGAGCTTGGCCAAGAACTACTCCTAGAGTCTCTCCAGCTACACGAGCAGATCTACGGTGTGCTGCACCCTGAGGTAGCCAAGGCTTACCACACCCTGTCGAACTTGCTCTACAGCCTTGACGATAAGGTCTCGGCTCTTGAGCTTGCACACAAGGCCATCATCGTGTCGGAGCGAACTCTGGGTGTCGACCACTCGGAGACTGTGCTTGCCTACCTCAACGTCGGTCTGTTCGAGCATGGCTCGGGTAACACCACGGCCGCTCTTATCTACGTTCGTCATGCGCTCGAACTGTGGAAGATCCTCTACGGCCCCGACCACCCTGACTCCATCACAACCCTCAACAACGCCGCCGTCATGCTGCAGGCCGCGAAGATGTACCACGAGTCGCGACTCTGGTTCGAGGCCTCGCTCGCCGTCTGCGAGGAGGTCTGCGGCAAGAACTCGATTAACACAGCGACTCTGCTGTTCCAGACCGCCCAGGCTCTCGCTCTCGACAAGGACATGCGCGGTGGTGTCAACCGCATGCGCGAGTCTTACAACATCTTCAAGGAGGTGCTCGGTGCAGAGGACCGCAACACCAAGGAAGCCGAGAGCTGGCTCGAACAGCTCACCCACAGCGCTGTCTCTCAAGCCAAGCAGCTCAACGACCTCGCCAAGACGCGTATCCGTCGCATGCAGCTCCCCGGCCGCAACCCCCTGCGACCCGCTGCCGCCACTCCTTCCGCTAGCGATGCCGCTGCCGCCGCCGGTAGCCAGCGCACTGGAAGCGGCCGCGTCGATCAGCGCAAGATCGAGGATCTCCTCAAGTACATCGAGGGCGACGCGCAGAAGACACCGTCGAAGAAGAAGCCGACGAACCCCAGGAAGCGTTAAACTTGCTATGTCATGTTTTTGACGTTGTCTCATATTGTTACGAAGCTACGCCAAAAGTATACATACCACAAAAAGTGCTGTTGTTTGCGCGATAACGATCTGTATCATACCTGCAGAACATCTTAGCAGCAGCGTTTTACGAATCTGACGCGCTTTCTCTTTTGATTCATGGGAATCTGACTTTTTGGTATGGCTTCGGCTTGCATTCTTTGGAGTTTTTGGGTTGGTTGGGCAACAACTGGGGGAGGTGAGATGGATGGGCATGTACTTTACGCATACCGACGACACCAAAACGCGCTCGCTGTATATCTAGAGGGACCAGGGCGGATGGCTCAAGGGAACAAAATATATGTCGGATGTACATGGACTGTATGGTATGGTAAATAAGGAAGGGGTGGGATGGATGGAAGGACTGAATGGGGAAGGAATATGGACGACGAGACGAATAGATGTACTCAATACCAATGCAAGAATATCTCCTCTTCATCCAATTCACTCACTTTACTTATGGATATATTCACGTAATTTGGATTCATCGAGTATGTGTTGCAAGCAACGGTATATATATATGGGGATAAGTATGAGGTGCAGGGCCCCCGCAGCCTGCTCGCGATTGGGTGGATGGATATATTCACGTTGTTGTTCTTCTTACATCCATCTTACCACTTGATACATGAAAAAACCTGAACAGGTCTGCAGACTACATTGCGACAAAACTCTGCAAAGTGGGTAACCTAACGTCCACGTAGGCTCTAGGGTGTCCTTTTTCTATTAGGTTAACGTGTCACTCTCGACACTGTCCGAAACTATAGCACCATCAATTGATTCAGGGTCTTTTATTCATCTACATTGCACAACTGTCGTTCCACCGCTGTGTTAATGAGCGAAAGGCTCAAATCATCGCTTTTGTTTTCCACGCTCCCAGTTCCACCACCCATACAATCTCGAATGCTCAGACACTTGCCTCGTCCTCCGGGATCGGATGCCGTTTACGAAACTCTGCAATGATGTCGGCAGCCTTCTGGTGTATCTCTGGATCCCCTTCCGACCGCCTAGCTTTTGTCCTTTTATTCACTTCCCTTAGCCTCGCGAGCAACGCATGGTTGGCGGACTTCATAAGCAGACTCGGCTTCTTTCCCTGCGCATCAGCGAGCTTCTTCTTCAACCTCTCGATATCGCTCTTTAGGTTCTTCCTCAGCGGCGACCGCTCAATCGCATACTGAGCACACTTGTCCCATTCCTGCTCCGAAGTCTTGAGCGCAGACTCGGCGCTTCGGCTCGCAGGGTAGCGGCTGAATCCTCCTCCGTTGCCCATGTAGCCTTCCGCGAGACGGGTTAATACGATCTCGGAAAGCGAGGCGTGGGACGCGGTGTGGCTGATGTAGATGATGTACTGGTTCATCTAATATAGTTTGGGAAGAGTGTTGTTTGCGAAGAGTACGGCAGCGATTGCTTCGGCGAGGTTCATGGCGGGGTGAGAGCACGAGTGATTGGCGTGTTTCTTGAGGCGGGCCTGAGAGCGAGCTGAATATCCGACTTGGACGAGTGGATGCTTCAATGGCTTGTTTTGGTGCTGAGGTGGTAAGCCTCTCAGTCGCGCTCGTACTTCCTTGATCAGGCGAGTGGTTTCCTTGACCCTGGCGGCGGACTGGGACTCCTGGTATGTGTTGTCTTCCTTTGTTCCTGAGCTGGTATATGTGTACTTCCTAAAGCCAATTTGGCTCCTGAGCAGATCGACGTGCGGTGTCTTGACGTTGTCAATCTCGTTCGCGAGGGTATGGTTTGTAGCGTTGACGTATTCTTCCATAGTATCCAGGATGGTGCCGAGTTCGTTTGGCGTAGGAGATCGGCCGTTGTCGTCGACGAAGAGCTGGTAGTAGATCGACGGTTTGTCTTTGGCCTCGACGTACAACTCATCCAAGCGGTCCTTGATGACACTGTTGCTCCTCGCTTGGACAGCCAGATTACCGCGTATCACGACCTTGAGAACATCCTTATCCATAGAAGCGACCATCATGCGCGCCGGACTGAGGATGCACTGCTCATCCGTGTTTGATGCTGTAGCAGAGTCGTGACAATGAGCCGCGATCTCATCCTTCAGAAGTACTTTCAGCATGCCCTCGTATCCACCTTCTTGCCAGAGTGCGAGCTTTGTCCATTTGGCGGTGTCCAGATCGTCGCCTAAGTCATCTCTGTTAGTGATCATGCATTCTGCACGCGAAAGACTGGGACTCTAGTATTATGACTTACCAAAGGCGGGCAAGTCTTCCAAATCCAGTATGTCCTGTACGAACGCTGTGTCGTCCGAGTCTAAGGATACTACTGGGGTGTTGACGCTTGGTGTTGATGAGCCGTGGTCGTCGCTCATGTCTCCAACGTGGCTTTCATCGAATTCGCCGATGACCTCGTCGCCGCTCGCCTCATCGTCCGTCTCTTGATCCCGCTCGAGAATGTCCTCATCGTCCGCATCCGCGCCTTGCACCCGAGAAGCAATGGCGTTGAAAGCGGGGGCACGCGTGTTGAGTAAAGGTGTGGTGTTCATCGTGGCCATTGTAGGCGGTTGGCGACGGTGAAGTAGTGGGTTGTGTCGGGGGTCACTGTGATTGTGAAAACCTCGTCTGAGATTTCGAAGATGCGCAGCCGAGATGGCGGTACAGTAGGCCTGGTGCGGTCGCTCGACTTGGCTGGATGGGTTTTTAAGCGGCTTTGTGGTGCGGAGGAACCAGTGACCCGGAGTCGGTGGAGGGAGAAACGGACGCAGGAAAAGCTGGAATCTGACAGTGCGCAGCGGATCAAGCGAGGAGCTAATTAAATCTCGTTCACCTTCAAGTTTGAGATATGAGCGCAAGTTTGGAGATGCTTCTGCTAGTGTTATGCGGTAGAGGAGGAAGATGTAGTCCTCATGTATTAGCTGCTAACGTGTGAGACCAGTAGTCACTGCTGACTCTGTACGTCAAGCGACTCACACGTGCGGTCCCATATCTATCAGTTTCGTCGATATCTAGGGGAGTCTACCAATCGTCGCAGCGTCTTTACGTCTAGGCGTCGGCTTGATACATCCACACTGCACATCAGAACTTACGTGATTCACGGTGTCGTCAAAAGAAGTTGAAACTAGTTACAGCATTTTCATACTCTACGACCATCTTGTAGCTACACGGAGAATCTCCAGGGTTACCCAGTTGTCATGAGAGTGTCAGCGCCGAGCTGTCGGGTCTCACCCTACTTCTTCTGAAGCTCTGCTTCGAGCTTTGCATTGCGCTCTCGGAGGTCCTTGACAGTCTCGCGGAGATCTTCTGCGGCTACCATTTGTATACTGACGGTGTCCTTGAGGGCGTCGATAGTGCCTTTGAGGGCGTCGATCTCGGGCTTCTTGTCATTGGTATCCGGCTTCTTGTCAGCGAGCAGGCCTGCATCTTTTGCTTCCGCGTCTGGCTGGGCAGACTTGCTGAGGAAGTCGGCTTCCTTGGTCTTTGTCTCCTTGAGCGCTGCAAGTTCCAAGCTCTGGTCGGCGAAAGCACGTTGCAGAATCGCAGAGCTCTGATTGAGCCTGTCGAGGTCGGCCTCGTAGTCCTCCTGCGCGGCTTCAGACTCTAGTGCGTGTTCCTTCTTGATCGTGTCGATTTGGATCTCATAGTTCTTCTGTCAAGCTATTAGCATGAATTATAAAATGTCTTAGCACTGCGTTAGGAAAGCATAGCAAAGGAGCTACATACTAGTAATAAGTTAGCAAGATATCTTAAGAGCTATTTGTAGCGGCTACTTCACCCTTTATTTCTTTGAGCAGCCAGTCGCAGTGTTTCTCGAGCTTGGACTGCGATTCGTTCTCCAGGTGGGCAATCTTGGCCTCGTAGTTCTCGGCGAGGTCGTTGAGCTTGATCTCGGATTTCTTCTTTATCTCGACGCAATCATGCATGATGAAGTCCCTCACACGTTCGATCTCAATCTCTTGTAATTTCTCCTTTTCGACGAGCTTGGCCTCGTAGTCCTTGATAGTGTTCTCTAAGTTGGCCTGGGACACCTTGCTCATGTCGGCGAGCTTGGCCTCGTAGTCGGCCTTCTGCGCCTCAAGCTTCTCGGCGGACTCCGACTCGATAGGGCACGGTTTGTGAAACGGATTACTAGACACATTCGACGCGGGACCCATGAAGTCATGTTGTTTCTCAACTACCATCTCTGGGCGCATAGTCAGCAAGGGTAGTGTAGATAGTAAGGAAAGGATTCGCACTTACTATGAGCTGAAGTGGGCTTCTTTGCAGAGACTTGAGAGCCACCAGGAATGAGCAAGTTCCCACGACGTGTGTAGATTGGTTCAGACATTGCAGCTGCGGGGTGAGTGAGAGGCGGTTGAGGGAGGAGCGATTGAGTGAGAAGCGGTTGAGCAAACGGTCGCGGAGCGGTCGCGAGTAGTCAGTTGCTCGGAACATGTTCGCTCCGGAATGACAGTGAATGGTTGGGGTGTAGAGAAACCCCGGACAGAGGGCGTTCAAGGGCGCACTAAAGTAATCTGGATTCATCGGAGTTAATCGGGACTTTCTACCGCACATCGTACACAGAGGAGAGTATCTCTAAGCTTTTCAGCTTTATTCGACAGCTATACACATTCCCGTCATCAGCAACCACACTCTATAGCCTATAGCTATGCCACTTTATTGCTGCACTCTTAGAATAATAATATTTATTCTCTATTACTAATTAAGGTACCTAAACTAAATATAACTAATTACTTAATACTTATAACTAAATTTCTTAACTTATTTTACTACTTTATAGAAAACTTTTTATAATTTTAAGAACTAAAATTATAAGCTATATACTAGACTCTTTCTTTATATTAGCTATAAATACTTAATTTTTTTTATATAAATTCTCTACTACGTTTTAGTAATTCTTTAGTATTTAAAGCTAGCTAGTTTATAGTAGAGTACTAAGCTTATACTTTTTAAGAACTACGTATATATAAAGATAGATATAGAACCTCTTTATTATATTAATAGTAATATAATTTTTAGTTATTTTTTTACTTTATTCTTTAAATTTATTAATAACTACTTTTATAAAAGTATATAGTTTTAAAAGCTTTTTATAAGTATTTTTAAGCTACTATAAAAATAATTTATTACTTAGAAAGTATATAAGTATTTTATTTATACTAAAGTTATTACTAACTAATATAAGCTTTACTATAAAAGTTTACTAGTATTTTAGATTCTTACTTATAATATAAAAAATCTAAATACTTTTAGTATTAGTTTTTATAAAAAATATTATAAAGAGTTTAAGTTAAAGACTAAGTTTAATAAAAAAGTATTAGTTAATAAGAAAAAAAAAAATAAATAAAAAAAAAGAGAAAGAAAAGCTATATAAGTAAATATTCTTATAAAAGAATTTATATTATTTTAAAATTATAATACTTAGTTACTTTATTATAATAGTAAGCTATAATTATTTATTATAAGTTTTATAGTTATATATAGAGTATTATTATTACTTAATTACTATAAAAAAAGCTACTTTACTAAGTAATCTTTAGGTACTAAGCTATAAGGCTTAGTCTAAGCTTCTTTATACTACTAAAAATATATTATATACTCTTATATTATAACTTTTTTAAAACTAGTAGAGAGCTATACTAGACTTAGACACTTTTTTAATAATACCTACTAGCTTATATATTTATCTTAATCTATAGCCTACTAGAGATTCGCGACACAAGCCTCTCTAGGAACAGACGGCTCATCAGAGAGTAGACGGGGAGTGATAGCCACTTTGTTGTCTCCTAAATCCGTACAACAGCCGCTATACAAAGAAAGCGCGACTTTCGCCAGTTCCTCATCCGTGTGAAATTCAGAGCTCATATCAGGGGCCAAGCCAACCGGCACCTTGGTTTCTGGATCTACGAGAAACAACTCATTTCCGAAAGCCTTCTCATCGGGTGGAGGCAGGTGTTGACCGACACATAACAAGGAAAGAGGGTCTTGTCTTTGATGCTTGGGTTGACGTGCATGCTTTGCCAAAAGACCGACGGAAACAAAGGTTTCGTGGTGGCGAATGAATACGGGGACGAAGAGCTTGTTGACCCACGCAGCGGCAGATAATGGAATGCGACAATTGACCATGCCAGCTAGGAGGAGCATGGTACATAGGAACGGTGTTGACGAGAGACCTTGCATCTGTTGCTTGAGGTAGGCCCAATCTGCTCGCGGCGCTTTACTCATCTGATGCATCTCATATTCCTTGTTCATTAGGTAGAGTATCATCTTCCTAGCCTGCACAAAGAGTGGCACGTACTCGCTAGCCTCGTTCATGCGCGCCTCATGCTCAGTCTGATCAAGGCTCCTGAGATCCGCTATACTTTCGTCTTCCACGAAGCCCAGTCCAGGGGCAATGTTCGTCCAAGAGTGACTTTTGTCATCGGACACTCGTATCGCATCCTCTGGATCAATGGGCAGCCAACCGCAGCTCATAGCATCGGCGTGATCGAGCCTCCAACGATGATCCGGAAGATGTCCGAATTTGGAAAGCTCACCACCCCCATATGATTCCTCCCATTGCATTCGGAACCGTTTAAAACAGGCTTCTAGCCGGGCGATGAAAATGTCTGGCGAGCATTCGCTTTCTAGTTCTTTGATCTGAACATCCGAGGTAATGTGTACATGCCGTGAAAAGGCGTTCGAAGCCTCGGGTACGCGTTGTCCCATCAGCTTGAGGAAATCGCCGAGCGTCGTCGGACTTGGAAGATATTGGCTTGGTCGCCAACCGTCCGTGGGATCTGTACATGCAGGATCAAGCATTGAACGAGTGAACCTGCATGTAAAAGCATGTCCAGACCGTTCAGCTTGTTGATAGAGATCCAGATAAATCTTTCCGAATGACATCGCCAAAGCCTCTTTCTTCGGATATGTATACCATGGGAAAGAAGGCATAGTCGCAAAGATGTAGTCGCGAGGCATAGTAGCTGATCTACGCGATGCGCGGTTCGCCGGTAGAAAATGACCCGAGTGGATGTCTTCATCCAGTCTACGCTTTACGCTACGTGAATTGATAACGGTCCCTCCATAAACATAAGCTTCGACAAAATTATGTATGGCGGTGTTGCCCTGAAAGCCGGAGAAAGAGTAGGCTAGAACCAAAAGAGCAGACGCGAGAGTCATGCATTCTGACTCATACTGGTTAATGTCACTATCGTCGCGAGCCCGTTCCCGCATCGCGAGCTCCTTGGGTTGGTCTAAGCTTTGGTCAACCACAAGCAACAAGCAAATTGCTTTAACGTACTGTGATCTCCAACCACAAACTCAATCGTATGAGAGAGTAAGCACTCCTGCAGGGTCCACAGTCTCTGAAGGTACGACTCAGCCCAGAGATGGTCGATACGGTCACGGCTATGATCATAGAGTCTTTCGGTAAAGTCCGTGGAGTTTTTGAACCCAGCAACAGCAGCGATGCAGCAGTCATGAAATCCGTCGCATTCCCTGACCGCCATTGTCTTCTTTGCCATCCTGAAGATATCGGGAATGGCATCCACGATCTCTGAGACTTCAACTGGATTTCGCTGATCGACTGTCAACGTGTCCATCCAAAAGGCACCATCACCCACCAAGGCGGGAAGGCGGGTTGCGATAAAATGTGCCTTCTCTTGTGATGCTTTGACCTCGTACGGTATGCCCTGGATCGAAACCCAGGCCCAGTCGCCCCAGACATGAGAGAAAGCGATGTAATTGGTGGACTCAAGAGGTGCCTCGAAGAGCTCAAGAATCGCGTTCTTGAAGCGCGCGAATCTGATAACCCTTTTCGCTGTGTCACCAAGAGCCATGATATGGGATTTGTGTCAGGAAGAAAAGCTGAGATCGGGAGCTACGACCTTAGAGCCGGCATGCGCTGGTTTTGATCTGGGGCATTGGGTGGCAAGGCTAAAGATTAGACGCCTCAGCCTCGTTGGCTGCGGCTAAGCAACGGGTCGCCTGGCCTCGCAACGTCCAGCGCCTGCCCAGCCTCTCATGTACATTCTCGCGACCCCTGTTCAGCGCTGCCAATGACAGAAGGCGCTGGCCGACTCGTAGCAAAGAAGGATGGTATGGCTTTCCAACGCATGGAGGCCAGAACATGGACTATTTGTTGGTACAAGCAACACCCATATTGCTGATCGTAGCCTGCATACAAAGCCCGTTTTACTGAATACATGTAACCCTTACATACCATTCGTCTGGTGCCTGAAATGGCCCCCAACGCAATGCCTGACTAGTAAGCGGATGTCACAACTGTCGTTCGCGAATCTGTTAAGATGACAAACGACAACTGTGACATCCATCCACTCCACAGGCATTATATCAAGGACCAAATAAATTATCTGCACAGTGTAGAGCTTTACCTACAAGGATAAAGTTTTTCCAAGGTTCGGCTCGTGGGGTCACGGAAGGATTTGACAATCGAAAAGCTGAGACGAGTGTTGTAGAGTCTCAGCGACATAGGTTTGCCCTGGGTACAAGAGCTGCTAGCGTGAGCAAGAATCGTGACGTGCGTACGTGCTTGTTGAACGAAAGTAATCCGGCCTGATGCCAGTGATATGCGCATCGCAATTAGGAGGACCAGTGCATACCCACGGGAGCAGACATGTGATGGACCCATATCATGGCTGACTAGGGGACGTGTCGCACGACAATAGCAGCGAGGCGTGACGTGATACAACAATGTCGTACTCTAGCCGTATCGGTCTGCAGCGCAGTAAGGTTGTAGCATAGGCCGTCCGCGGACTAGACATGGCCTGGTGGTTCATCGCTTTGACGTGCCGCCCTGAACCAGCGTGGAGGAGCCACCCGTACCCTCGAATGCGCACTGCCTGGTCATGTTTGGAAATATGACAGACAAGATACAAGCCAGAAGATGTTGTGATCTACCAGATTGTGGATGCATTTCCAGTTGACCTCAAGCGCGAGCTTGGGTTTACCGTTCTTCTGGAAGCGCCCGCAATGACGTTTACTACTCACAGTAGTACTGGAGACCGTGATTTGCCTGGTTATTGTTCCTTTGAACGACGAGTAAGGCATTCTTGCAGTGGGCGCTCAATCACAACATGGGCACATCGGTGACCAAGCCCTCCGTCGACTCCGATTCTGCGTCTTTGTCTGAGTACGCTTCTGAGTCCGCTCCAACTGTCGAATAGCGGCCCCCAATTCAGGTTTGTCCTTGGGAATACTCGTTTGGGTTTTGAGCCACCAGATGTACTGAGAGGGTACTTCCGCCACCGTCTTTCCTTCATGCTTGCCGAACGTGAATCTGTATTCGCCCTTGCGCGGAGTCCCGATGGGTGGGTGGTGGCGTTCGTACTCTGCGACTCCTGCAGCGAGTGTCTCATTTGTGTCGGTGAAACCCTTGCTCTTCAGGAAGGCCATGTAGTCGGGAGGGACTTCGGCGATGGTTTTGCCTTCGTGCTTGCCGAAGTCGAAACGGTATGGTTGTTTGCGGGGTGGAGGTTGAGACGAGGGAGGCTGCGGGGTAGGTTGCGAGGCAGAGAGCTGCGGTGCGGGAGGTTGCGAACTACTCGGGACGTCGTTCTTGCAGAGGGAATAATGGCTAGGCGCAGTCGAAGGTGGTAGCGGCGCCTGCTGACTGGCCACAGAAACTTGACTGGATGCAGGCGGTGCAGAGTCCATATACGAGAAGGGTGCAGATGATGGCGGTGGTAGAGCTTGCGAAGAAGCCTGACTTGGGACCGAGGGTGCCATAGCGACTGGAGGCAAGCCTTTCTGCATCAAGCCGAGCGCATCAGACAAACCAGGCAAAGTGGCCAATTTGTCTTCGCTCGCACCAAGATAATAGAGGTAGTCCTCTGGTACCTCAAGCAGAGTCTTGCCTTTATACTCGCCGAAAGGAAGGACGTATAGGGGCGCACCAGGCGGTTCTTGAGGTGCCGTGGGCTGTGACGAAGGAGGATATGACTGTTGTGTGCTAGGTGGTGGTGACGGCGAGCGAGAAGGCGAGGGAGGAGAGGTATATTTAGAGACATGCGAGCTCGATAGCACAGGTTGCGAGGACGGAGGAGGAGCCGGGTAGGCTTGAGACGACGGTGGGGAAAGCGGCATCTTCGACGTTGTAGCTTGCGATTGCGACGACATCGACACCTGCGATGCTTGCGATTGCGACGCTTGCGATGCCGCCTTCCTCCCATTCTTCTTCTCCTCCTGCCACTCTTCCAACGCATATATCAATTCCATCGGTCTACTCGAAATCGGATTCCTAATCAACCACGTAACATAAGACGTCGGTATCTCCGCAAGCGTCTTGCCCTCATGTTTGCCAAACGTCAGGCGGTACGGCTCGGCGTCCGATGACGAGGCCGAGGGCGGCGGCGTTGAGGCAGCTTGGTGCCATTGCTGAAGAGTGATTTCATTTGGTTTGTCATGGGATGATGGCGGCGTAGGAGCGGTGTTTGTATAGAGTGGCTTTAGCGCAGGCCGTGGTATTTGCGCGGAGGAAGGGGGAGCTTGCTGCGACGAGACAATCTCATCGACGGCATCTGCGACGTCGGAGTCAATGTCCGATCCGTAGTCGGATGACATTGTGCGCATGCAATATCTGGATTGAGACAATAACTGGGTGTACGATAGTTCGGATGGGTGGGTTGGTGGGTTGGTGGACTGATGACGTTGGGCTGCAGCAGCAAACGTGTGGGCAGGTGGAGTTTCGGGATGACGGAAGGAGCTTCAACGGTTGCGTGCACAGACATACACTTGAGTTAGATCCCGCTGCCACCCAGGAACAAAATCTTCTTATTGACACAAATTACTTCCTAGCTCCTCTGTATCGAAACAATGCATAAAACCCTTGCTAAACCTCCGCGATTCACCCAAACGCCCTTTCCCTACCACGATTCACCTTCTTGATGCCAGCTCTCCTTCACATTCCCCAACCTCTCAAGCCACAGCCACTTTCTCTGTCTGACTGATGATATACCACGCATGAATGACCCCAGGAATCCAGCCGAGAATGCAAAGTGCGATGTTGATGAAGAGATCAGCGGCGCAACCACGCTTCATTGCGACGGGAAGGAAGGGGATCCATATTGCGAGGAAGTAGAGGAGGACTGTTGACTGTAGTTGATTGTCAGAGTCGAAGAAGGGAGAGGCATGGGAATGGGGTCATGAGGATGGGGGGACGGACTGTGCTTGATGGCATTGTTCGATGTGTTTGATCCGCGCTGATGTGGTAGGTTGTCGTGCTTCCTTCTCGTAAAGCTATTCGGGTAGTCGTAGTATAATTGGAAAATGAAGATGTGGCTGTTCCCTGTGGCTGAACGAAAAAGTGGGCGAACCCTGATACATTAAGTATTCCCCTACTACTAAGTGCCAACTCAAAGCAGCTTATGACGCAGGCGCGGACCGAATGCAGGGCGCCAGCGCCTTTCTCATACATGCCATTGGCTTACAAGGCCGTGATAACCGCTCATCAAGACCCCGTTCCTGAATTGCGCAGCGAATGAGAAAGCCATGCGCCACAGTGACGATGCATGTTGTGGCGCAGGTATCAGCGAGGAGGCCGTGCGTCGTGGTGTTGAGGCTAGACTGGGCTACGGGCTTCCGAAAAGTGCCGGTAGCCGTGGTAGCCGCGTACTAGGTATGCAGGGGAGGGTACTCTGTCCGCATGCAAAGTGCAGTATTGGGTATCTAATCGCCGGATACAGTGCCAAGGATAGGATGTTCGTAACTAGACGAACGCTTCGCGATGCCTCTGTAACGGTGCTGTAAACATGTTGAGATTATGCTTGAGACTCTTTTGTGACCGTGTGTAGGATGAGATGGCCACTTGACATACGATTATTAATCCTGGTGTGCATTACTTCGAAGACGACATAAAGGCGCGTATGAGAATGCGGTTGAATAGTAGCATTGAGACTTCGGCGGCGATGACGTGTAAAGGAAGTTCAAGTATTGCTTGTAGTGCTTCAAATCTTGATTAGTAGGCTATATCACGACTCACGTACTAGATTTGATGGCTTGTGTGGATTGGAAGAATTCACAAGGCTGGATACATTCCCGATATGTGTCCTTCTTCATTTTCCACTTCGGTGATTCGTGTGGCAAGACGCTTAAATGTGTCTTCGAATAGAACCTGGCATCAAATATATCATAATCCCACTATCTACAGGCGCTACTATCGTGTAAGCTGTAGTCAGCCCAAACGAATCCTCCTTCTTTTCTTCAAGCGGAAACAAAGCGGCCAAGCTATTCCACAAGGGACTTCCTTGTCTGCGAGTACGTAGAGAGAGTCATACCTTATCACCATATGTCCCACTCGTTCGTAATGATGCTCTTTCTCGTGAACGATCATGACAAAGATATCATCAGTGAAGTTATCAGATGGGAGGCTTTCGCATCTGCCTAACACGATACCCAACAGACTACCTTGTCGAAAGTCTGGCGCGTAGCTTTGCTGTGTAGCAGAACTTTTGTCGTACTGCTGATATAATGAAAACAGAGGAATTCGGAGAGTTCTCTCGGCGTCTTGAAATGTGGCAAAATACCCGGAGTAATTTGTATTGCGCCGCTTTGAGGGGTTCCAGTAATACGTCTCTTCAGGAAGGTACTGGATATCGATTGGTATCGTCCAAGCCTCAATGTAGATAAATCTGTTGGAGGATCCAGGTATGCCCATGTCTAACGAGACGTCGCTTTGCTCATCCATGTCTGAAAGTGATCCATCATGGTTCTCTATGAAGACCTTCAATGGCAATTCGTTTTCGAATGTGAGCTCTCTCCTACATGATTCAGTTTCGTAATTGATCGGCGCGTTCCATCCAGCCCAACTCCACGTAGGGAATACGGTACGCCTGGTACCTGACGCTGTATTGCACCAGGAGAGTCCGGCAGCAAAAGCCTCGCCTTTACCACATCCATTTGCCGACCCTCCAGGCCTTTTTTGTATGATGGGAATACCCAGGTATTGATAGACGGGCCAAGAGTTTTTCCTGTAGCTATGGAACACTCCTTCAAATGCGCGTATAGCATCAGAGCTGAGAGTTAGTTCTCTCCCACAGTAATCAGTCAGACGATCGCAAATCTCGAAAGGCACCCACTCCCCTCTACCGCCGTGGAACATGTGTAACAGCCATGTGCTGTGATCATCGACTGTCTCGAAAGCCAGCCCACTCCTACACTCATAGTACACTTGTTGCTCTGTAAAGACAATACGTCGGGTCGAGAAAAAACTCTCTTGATAGGTCCATGCTCGACGCATCCATTTAGAAGCCTTGATAAGCGTCTGCGTATCTGTCAGAGTTGATACAAGGCATCGTCCTCCAATCCAGGCACTTGATTGAGGAGTTCTCGGGGTAGCGTCAACGCCAGGTAGGCCGAATTGGGGATCAGGGCCTGCTGCAGCGACTATAGTCACAAACGCATTTTGATAAATGAGGTCCATTTGCTGGATCTGGATTCGATTCTCAACATCGTTGTCTTGGTCGATGCAATATCGATCGATCCAAATATATCGAAGACCTAGCGATTTGCTGACCTTCAGAGCATCTTCGATAGTGCGTGGCAAGGTTGTGGGAAGTTGGTTCTGGACACACCGATCATCGCCAGATCTGCTCGTACCCCACACATAGCTAAGTGCAGCATACTCGTACGTCGGTAAAGCTGGCACGATCAGTCGCTGATCGCAGTCGATTAATTTCAGCTTTTTTGGACTCGAAGCCGATGATTCCACTTGGGTGCACTGCTTTGTGTGCTCTCGACCACAATGCTGTATCCAACCTCGAATGATGTCGAAGTCGATCGAGATTGCATTAATAGATTTTGCCCGCAATGAATGGACGCGTGGAGCTGTATATGACGCGCTTGAACATGCAATGAAGCCACCCGACGTTCCATCCCGAAACATCTGTGTCAGTATCGAATACTCCCCATACTCATACTCATCACCAGCGGAGAACCCAAGGCCATCTCGGGCTACAGCCAGTACTGTTCCATCCTTGATGTGGTAAGGATGAGGAGGACATATGCAGTATAGAGCGTAGTCCTTGATTAGAGCGCCATCTTGCAGCCTCACCGCATGGAAAAGGCGACATAGTGAGCACGACGACAGCTCAGCTTCTACCCCGAGTTTTCCAAGAGTCATCAATTTTTTCATGGGCCGTCTTTCCAGATCGAGGAAAAGGCTCTCGACATCAATGGACGAACACCTGGAACAAAGGCTGCTGGATTCTTGACAAACTATTTCGTCACGTGTTTTGGATGTGTGTCTACGGGTTCGATAGGTCGCAGCCCATAGGACCACAGATCGTTTCAGCTTCCTTGAAATAGCTTTTGCTCGCTCCATGTCGTGATGGGGCCCTCGGAAGACGGTTGAGATGGAGGATGAATGGAAGGTGGCACCTGTCTCGTTAGCTTCACGGCCTTGGTGTTGCGACGCACTGAAACTGGGGGATAGACTCACTTGTATTCGTTCCTTTGCTTGGTCTGCTATTGCTAGTGATGGGATGTGGATGGTGAGAGGTGCGGGGCAAAAGTGCACTCAAGGCTGCTGCCTGCTGGATACCTGCTGCGCCTGCCAACTGGTAAGCGAAGTTTAGGTAAGCACATGCACGCTGCGGTATCTTGCTTAGGCAACTGCTATGATCATTACGATTAATCCTACAACTACTTTTGCACTTATGTCTACATGTTATATTACAATGACCTGTCTTCATGTCAAATCCAGTATAGCAATCCTTTCACCAGAACGCTGTGACATAAATAGCGTGGGTTTGCAAAGTCGCATGTGCTGGGTGAGTTGCTTTGTCTAAACGGGCAGTCGCAAAGTCGCACTTGCTACGTGAGTGTCTTTGTCTCAGCGGGCAGTCGCAACACTTTCGCGACCCAGTCATAAAAGATGCGATAACAGCAGTCCGGACTCTTCAACAGCGAAGTGCGCAACGAGATGGACATGCGACAAAAGTCTGTCGGGTCGACGTTGACAATGCGGTGAGTGCATCGATGCAAACTCTAGCCGGTCAGGTAGCAACATCGAACCTTCTAAACTTCGGTGACGATGACGTATCCAACCGGATTGGACGGTGAGGCTCTGTTGTTACAAAGTATAACAAGGATGAACGCTGTGCGACAGGAAATGACAACGGGAACTAAAAAAGACACGATGAGCGGTGTGGGTGGTTGGTGGGTGAGAAGCGGTGACGGATTTTACAAACATTAGGCATACAGGCAAGTTGGTGAACAGGGATATCTCGGCTTCGAATTTCTGATCTATTCTAGTCGATAGCCGCGCCTTACAAACAAGGTCATTGTCGCCTGGGGGGGATGGAAAATATTTTGAACTATCCTAGGTGTTGTTGTCGTGGGCGAGATGAGGTGGAAGGGGGGGTATGATTGTAGGGGTTGTGTTGATTGAGTAGTGAAACTAAATGGGCTGAGCGGGATGGGGGGTTGTAGTGGAACGCTAAAAATGCTGGTACTAACGTGTTTATCTCTTCTTGTAAGACAGTGACACAGACGAAGAGGAAGGAGATGGGCTATATAGTAATAACATAAGACATTCGGCATCATCGTGTCGCATTATCATGAAG